CCCCAAAACCCCAAAACCCCAAAACCCCATAGATCAGCACTATAAATCTAGTGATTGCAATTAAATGGATCCCTTATTATTTATTTTTCAAAATAAATTTTAATCTTACTATAGTCTTATTCATAACAATAGAGCACCATTGCCCTGCATATCTTTAATCCTTTTCTAAGCTAGTTTATTAGCCGATATCTTTCTTACTTAGTCAGATTACTATCCTATGCTTTTATAACTTTGTAGCATAGATGATTAGCTTAGAGCTTAGCCCTCAGCAGCTTTATACTTGTCCCCAGTGAGCAATTAAGTCATGCTCACACTTTAATTCATGATTTTATTCATAGTCAATTCATGTTCTGTCTTTTTCCTGGACACAATCAGAGTGCTTTCACTCAGTTCTTGCTCATTCCTGCTCTGATTGAATACATTCTTAAGTCTGGATTCAAAATATATTTCATTCAGCTTCTGCTTTCTTGAAAATTTGTCTATTCCAAGGTTCTTAATGTTGCGGTCTGAACCCACCTCATTTCCTGTCATGCAGTCCTCGCCTTAAATGTCATATTGTTTAGAAGCACTGTTTTATCTAGTATTATTTGAAGTAAAGCACATTTTCTATTGATAATAATCCATTTAAAACCACTTATTTTTCTCCTTGCTTAAGGATCTATCCTTGCCATTCCAAAATTCATCAACCTTTTTATGAGTATGCTAATTGATTCGGCCTTGCTTGCTTAGGTTTCTAAGTGGCTCCTTGCTTGACTGATTATAGTAAGAATTCTCAAACTAGTAGCTTCCTCCTTATCTTTCATCATGCCTCTTCATAAAGCTTATTCTAGATCCTTAAGACGATAATTTCTTGGTGTTACTCTTTGAGCGTGGTCTAGAGTGATCGTTAGCTGTGTTTCTAACTTTTCTGTCTTAAACGATTTTCAAGTAAACTTAATGAACAGAAGAATGCGGGTTACTATTGAAATTTTGAGTGCTATTAAAAGATTGAGTATTGTTAAAGCTGCTTTGATTCAAATTCTTTTGTATATCTGTGAACTTTGAAATTTTGCTTGTGTTTGTGATCCTAGACTTCAAATTTTTCGCTTTTTCACCTGTCGAGAAGTTTGCTTAATGATTAATTCTTTCTTTTGTATTTGTAGATTTAGGTGGAATTCGCTCTATTCTAGATATCTTAGAAGGAGTCTTATTGAGGGAGTTGAACCTTGAAGTGTCTATATATTGATAAATATAAATATTATTACTTTGCTCAGTTTAAGTCTCTCTAGATGACAATGGCTAACTAATTTAGCCAGAGATTTGAGCTTGCTTTTGAGCTGAAAACATAAACTATTAAAACTTAAAATTAATATTTTATTATTGAATTAAAAGGCTAATTAATCGATTCTATTGGGTCTCATTATTTACAACAAGATCGAATAGAAATTTGTTATTTCAACAGAGACATCAGGTTTTCATTTTAAAATCATAGTTTATTCAAGAGCAGGGTCTACTTCATGCACTACATTATCCTTAAATCCATTGACATTCTTTGCTTTAATATCAACAGTCTTAATCTGTTTATCACTCAATGATGACTTAGAATCTCTCTTCAAAAGCAAGTTGGTGTCAGATTTTGGCATAACTGAAGATCTTTGATGTTTGCTAGTAAAATTACTCCTAGGGGACTTAGAATTTCTGAAAGGTTAATCCATTGGGTCAAATTTCATTACAAGGCCGTGCTAGTTGATCGACCTCAAAATGTTCTCTTTTTCTTCATTTCTTGCTTTTATAGCAGCTTCTTTTTCAAGTTCTAATCTGGACTTCTTCCTAATTGCATCAGACATAAATCCAGTTCCACTTGAAGTTTCATAGTCATTCAATTTGGCTCTTTTAGACTAAGTAGCCCCATGAAGAGAAGAAGTTGATTCTTAGTCATTGTTTGAAATCTCCCCGAAGACTCTCTTCTTAGAATTTTCTTTCTCTAACTCAAGCTTGCTCTTTTTCTTAATGCTATCCTCCATCAATACATTCTGATTGTGAGGAGTGTTTGCTATATTTCTTTGCAAGTTTATTTAGATTGGCTATAGCGCGGACTTCTTCAACTACTCCTTTTCTTACTCTAATTTAGTCATTTTGGCCTTTGATGTTGACAATAAACTGTCTAATGATGGTACTTATTCTCCCTCGATCTTCCATGATTCTAAATGCCTTTCCTTTGTATCTCTAGTCTTTGATCTCTGTTAGTCATTTCTGTTCTATATAGCATTTATTTTAGCCTGTTCTAATTTAGAAAGTTTTGGCTTCCAATCTAGGGAAGAAGAGCCGAACTAGTCGTACATCTCCATTTCATACTCTTTCAGTCTTTTTTGCATAAAGGTTTCTGGCTTAGGTATCACTATATCCATAATGTCAGCCTGATAATTTTGAACTTCAGCTGCATCAAAGAATTCTGCTGATTCCTGGGCAGTATGAAAAGTTTTATCAATGTTCACTTATGAAGATTCATTCTAATTATCCACTCCCTCAGATTAATTTTACTGATGCTCATTTTCTTAATGGCTTAATTCAGATGATGGATTATCATTGATATTTACTTTGATCATGCTAACTTATTAAGAAGTTTACTGCTCTTCAACATTGGCAACGCTGAAATTCATATCCATGTTTACTTATTAATTACCTTCATCCATTTGCAAATCTTTGACCTCTTCATATACTTGTTCAACTTAATTTATAACTTAGACTGACTGATCCTAGGCCTAGGAAACATCTTATCCGTGATTCAACTCTGAAGCTTATTCGATGATAAGCTCTGCAGTGATATTTATAGATTTTGGATTTTCCTCCTGTTGTTCTAATTATTGAATATTTCCAGCATCTTGTAAATTTTCCACATTTTATTATATTACCTCTTATACTTAGCCCTCTTGAATAATAAGAAGTGACTAATTCAAATTTTCATTTATTGAGCTTTGATCTGCAGGAGATTCAGCCTCATAACTCAAATGGAGATCAGGGTTGTCAACTAAGCTCATGAATTGATTGAATATTCTGTTAAGAAGATTGGACAGTTTGATGTTTGAATTATGAATAAAATTAATATATTTTGAATTTAACTCCTATTAATATTATATCAGTTAAAATTATATAAAAAGGCTTCTTCAAGCCATGATATCTGAGTACTTTTCATTCCATTACTCATTGAATTTAGGCAGCTAGTCCATTAGTTCCTTTACAAAAATATGCTCAAGTTCTTTTCCATATTTATAGCCAATATAACTAAGCCTCTCAGAAATCTCTCTCATGAACTCATCAAGCTCATTAGGATTAGCTTCTTGTAGCAATTTTGAAGATATTTCATTCCAAGCAAATACAACAGTCTTTATCTCTTAATCTCCATATAGAGGCTTTTCTCCTCTCTTAAGACTTTTCATATAGTTTCTATATGAGACAAAGAGTCCGTAGACTATTGATGTAGCTGCCAAAATTGAAGGTTTTATTGACATCATAATCATGTCACAGATGCACACTCTCACATACATCACTGCATATTCTTCACAACTATCGATGTAAGTAGCTATCTGCTGGGTAAGTTTATTTCCCATCAGTTCTTAGATGTAGAACTTGATGAGCTTTATGTAGAAGAGAACAAACTCTAGAAGATGTGGTGAGTCGATCTCACAACCGAGGACATGAAGTATCTCAGTCTCCTTATCTAAAAATTACTCATCTGAGTACTTGCCCCTGCACAACTCTTGAATCATCTGCGGTAAATCAATGGGCACAATCTCAAAAACTTTGGAGACTATGAATAGACAAGTGACTCCGTTTAGCTGCAGCTGATGGTATGATTGCGATATTGTTTGGTGCTTGTAGAATCTATCCATCAGGTTCAGAGCCAGGTAAGGTAGAGTGGTGTCTTTCTTGTCTAGGCACTGGTTAACGTGGAAAATCCAGTTGACAAAGTGAGCTCTTAGATACTTGGTGTTCTCTGGGTGATTCTTCAACGGATCTTCCACCATTGACCTGATCTCTTGTTGTCTCAAGTCATTGAAGTAGTCAAACCAGTACTCATTCAAATAGTTCTTCTCCTCTGTTCTAATCAAATTTGCTTTAAATGGATTATTCATCTCTCTCTTTCCAAGCTGTGCTGCAAAATTTTTCACTGAGAATTTCTCTAAAAAGCATTTCTAAAACGTATTCCCAGTATGCTTCAGCTTAGGTGTCTCTAGTTTTAAGGGTTTGATGGTTTGAGGCATTAACTTTCTAGTAGGCTAAATCTAAGGTAGCTCTAGTGAATCTTTGTGAAGTGGTTTGTCATCTTGGTCCTCCATTTCAACATCTTGAGGTGTTGAAGGCAATGTTTTAGTATGGAGATCAAGTTTGCTGTTTTCTGTTGTTTTATACCCCTTCTCATTATCCTTGATATCTTCAATGAACTTCGGAGAGTTCTTTCTTCTCTTCATAAAGTTCTGTGCAGTGGTTTTTCTTGAAGAATTGCCTTTCACTGAATCTGGTAAGCTAGTGGTTCCACTGTCTTGTAGCTTTGCTCTTGCTTTTTGGTATTGTTCATACAAGGCAGGGTTAGGTACTCCAAGTTAGTAATAACTAGGTAGTACTTAAGTAGTTTGAGGTACAGCTTTGACTGATTGCATTTTTGTTTGATTAGTATGTAAACTCAAAGAAAAAATTGGGTAACTTTGATAAGCTCAAGGAAAGTGTTTTAATTAAATTTATAATTATTAGTAGATATTTGCTAGCATTTCTTTTATAATACTTTTGCAAAGTAAAATATCTTCAAAAGATACCTTTCTCCTCTAGTCAATTTACAAATTTATCATTAAATTAATCAATCACCTTCTATTAAAGAATATCGAGACTCGGGGTTTTGGGGTTTTGGGGTTTTGGGG